CCTGGGGGGGGGGGAGCGAGCGGACGGCTGTGTGGTGTTCGGCTGCCTGCCGGGTTAAGCCACAACAGTTCTCTTGGCGCCCAGTGTGGGGCACGAAGGGTTGAGATAACGACAGACCTGACCAGAGCGTGTCAAGGCAAATTTGTTACAAGCATTCATTACCTTGGTTTAACAGTCGGTGGTCACAATGTTGACTGATTTGCTCTCAAAGTTGTGGTGCTTGCGCTCGGAGTTGTGTTCTGTAACACCTTGCGTGCTGTGTATGTTCCCTGTCGTGCTGTTTATGACCGCTGGGAGCTGGATCAAGGGTATCATTTTGCTGCACTGTGTAACACTTCTGGTTTATGATATGATAAAATTATTGGTCGTGAGACTAACCTGGTATTTGTACTCGGCATTGCCGTCATCTCCGTACCTCGGGAGCCGCCTTTAGGAAACTATCAATAATTACACTCTTTACCTTTTCTCCTTGGGGAACCAATCTATGGGGGAGGCAGGGGGACACTTTCCCCCGCTCCTTCACCTTCCCTTTCTCCTTCAGGCTAGCTACAACAGCTCTTGAGACTTTTGAATATCCTCGGGATGTTTGAACCAGGATGGTCCTGTTGCTCTGTCTCCTGAATGTGGTTCGGGTCTTGTTTAACCTTAAACAACCATGCCACCGCCCTGGAACGCTATCCTGGGCCTTGAAAAGCAAGTCGTACGGCGACGTGGCACCCCAGGAAGAATTGAGTCAGACAACAGGACTCATTTCCAAAACAACCTCATGGACACCTGGGCCAAGGAGCACGGCATTGAGTGGGTACATCACTCATACATGAGAAAGATAGCTCTGGATGATGTGTCGTGAATCCGGGTGGTTTGGTTTAAGACGTTTAGTTTCAGGCCATTCTTCATCGCTGTTTTGCCAGTAGAGTGATGTGTCTGTGTGCGCTTTTGCGTTTGCATTGGGCAAAACTGGCTGAGTCCGAACTGTTTAAGTAAATGGTTTGTAATCCCTTGGTTGTCTTTTGCCCTGCTCAGAAGAACAATTTCCAGATGGGGATAATATAGGTGAGATACCTTAAAACTTTACTAAATGGCTGCATCGGGTCTAGTCAATACTTTTGAGCATTGCTGCCGTAATCTTCTTGTTTAAGGGTGTAATTTTTTTTTTTTCCTGTTAAAACTGCTGCCAAAGTAGATACAGCTGTACTGGGAGAAGAATTCTTCTTCCAGTTCAAGCACGTGCACAATGAGAGGAAAGTGCCAGAATACCTGCAGAGAAGAGACCTAAGTTGCAAAAGGCCAGAAAGACGCAGGCGAGACGTTTGTTTGAGACAAAGGAGGGCAACAATTAAAGGGAAGCTACTCGAATAAAAAGCCGGAGGAGCGAGGCAATTACTTGAGCGTAAGAATACTGAGGGAGCGTGAAGTTGGAATAATCAGGGCTGTACTGTAGTTGGTAATCAAAGTGAGCGTGTAGTCAATGTCCAGCTTTTGCGGAAGACTGTTAGAGAAGCTTAATTACTTGAAAAACAGTCTCTTTCTGATTTTGTGACAATTACATACTTGGATAGTAGAAAGTCAAGATACAGGGCCCTGCTGGGGGCTTGCTATCCTGATGTCTGTTTGCATCCCCTCTTGCCAGTCAGTAGCTTGGCTGAACGGAGTGGAGAATCACCTCCGAAGAACTCTTTTTGTTACACAGGACAGACATGCAGAACTAGATCGGATGGGGGAGCTGTAGTATTTCAGGTTTTTGCAACATCCTCAGCTCCTTGGTTTGAGTAAAGCCTGTATCCACACGCATACCAGAAAGAAGGGATGGGAAGGGGTACAAATCAGAGTTAAACATGATGAACTTCAGGAAATAATGATATAAAATAGTGATATAATACTGATGGGGGATGCTGCAATCAATTTTGTAACTGTGTCGCTTTAGCTTTTAAGGGTGTTCAAAGTGTTGGGTTTTTTCTGCTTGTAAGGGGTGAGTTATCCACGATACTTTGAGCAAACAAGTACATTTTTTTTTTCCTTACGCTTCTTAGCAAAATTGCCTGAAACGTTCAGACTTGTAGAGCTTCTGTTAAGACTGTATGTTTTCCTTTTTTTGTCAGTTGTTAAAGAACTGCAGTATGACACGATGTTATTTATTCTTGCATTTGTGGTGAAAATTGTTTTACTGAATGGGTTAGTGATTTTAAGAATTACCAAACATTGCATTCTTCTGTGCAACTAAACTGCACTGTAGTTATCTTTGTGAAGGATTTTCATCAAATTTTAGTTTTTAGAAAGCCGCCTAGTTTAGAAAGCGTCTGGTCTTCATGTACCCTTGTGAAAAAGAAATTTGAGAGCGTGGAAGTGGTGATAAAGATGTAGTGATACAAAAGTAAGGAAACCATTAAAAATTCCTCATTTTGTGTAGTGAGGGCATGACAGTTAGCTTCGTTTTGTTTTGAAAAGGTCTGAGACCCTCCAAACTTCGGTAATTAGTTTACGCATAAAGCTGTTAATCATAACCAATGGATAACAGTAAATCGAGGCTTATATGTATAAAAAAAGAATTCTAAGGGTTCTCTCTTGTGTGTCTATATAGAGAGAGAGAGGGAGATACGCATATACCTGAATGGTCCAGCACAGTTTCCAAATTAGAACAGGTTAGGCCAGTCCCATCTGATCTTTGTTGTTTGCTCATTCATGGGAAGCATGGAACAGATAAATGGTTGAAGAAGGAAAGACAGAAATCATTATTTGGCACGCTATAAAGAATCTGGTAATTACAGAATGTTTTGATTTCTCTTGTCAATGAGTTTTCTTGCGTTAAGAAATGCAAATCTGTTTACAGAAGTTTTATGATTAAGTCGGATGACATTAATTTTGTCAACGGCAGTCAAAATAGGTACGCGGTGTGCTTATTATCAAAAGCTAGACAAAAAAAATTAAGTACAATGTTGCATATTCAGGTTATAGATTCATATATTCACAGAAGATGATTGCATATTTAATGACTTGCTATCAAACGGTTAACTGATCATACGCAGGAATATCAGATATTACATAAGCTACTTTTTGGTATCTGCTTTTTTATTTTAATTCACATTGTAGCACAATCAAATTAAACTGTCTTATTGCAGTCTTTGTACAAACCTTACATTTTTTTCCTGTAACTTAAATTAATAAAGGACTTTTATTTGGGAGATTCCAAACTAATTTACAGCGCTATCAGCTTACGTACTGCTCAATTCAGCATCATAGGGAGGGTGTGTCTTGGCCAAATGCTGGGCAAGTTCCTTTTCCTACAAATGGCCTTAGAAATTCTGCTGTGCGGTCACACCAGGGAAGACCCTCGCTGCATACTACTACGTGCTGCTTCCTTCACGCAAGGAAGGACAGAGGTCCACGCTGGCTGCTTGGTGATTTGAGTCTGTGGATCCCAGGGAGTAAAATCTGACAACACAGATATGACTATTGTTTCCTCAAACACTGTTTGGAAACAAGATTAGAGGTAGCTTCGCGTGTGTGGTTGTATAATGAAACCATATCTAAAATTTCTACAATTTGTCACAAATTTAGATTTAGTTCTAACCAGCAGGAAAAAGAAATTAAGCATATATGGCATGTAAACAGTGTATGTTAATTTTTTTGTGGCGAGTAACAGATCCGAAAGCATACTGGGCTTTTGTTGGTGATTGAAGCTGTAGGAAGAGTCGTGGCTCAAATCCCATACAGCAAAAACAAACGTGTATTTCCAGTGCTTTAATTAATTCCTAATTTCGACACAGTTTAAGACTGCATAATAGTAGCTAGCTCTTGTACATTGTTTTTCATCATTAGATCTAACAGCATTGTACAACAAGATGCAATTAAGACACACATTGATGTCCATCCTCATATGGATACACTTTCAATAAACATAACAGTTCTGGAAACTTCTTTCTCCAACACCATTGGTAAATGTGATGCATTTTTATTGTACTGAAGTTGTATGCACAAACTGGAATGTATCATTACAGATATTATTGCAAGTTTTATGAATCTGGAAAGTAAATGAACCAACAATGTCCTGAATATAATTAAAGATACAAAATGTAGAGCCATACATAATCACAATGCCCCAACACAGTGCTTAAATAATTCGAGTTTTAGAGAGGGGATCATCACTGACGTTTTTGGATCATTAGTGAGCGTAAGCATCCCCTGCCCTGTTTTAAGGAACAAGGATAAGTCTTTGAGGAAAGAATTTTAAAAAATGCATAGAGTGGACATGCCATTATACATGTTTTAACTTTACTTACAGCTTGCTTAAATCTGAAGTAAGCACAAGAAAGGAAGTGCTGCTGTTGGTTGGGTTTTTTTGAGGGTACTATTCTTTTCAACACTTAAACATCCTTGAAATAAATCATACATAACATTTTTAGTAACAGTTAAGTATCCGGTAACAGTCAAGAGTTACTCTTTACGTCAAGGTGAATAAGTGCATGCGTAATGGAGCATGTTCATTAACGTTGATCTGGGTGATGGTTATCACTGTCCCTCTTCGGTGTGTGAAGTCACTCAGCTCCAGCTTCGGGCATCTTAATGACTGTCACTACGCAGAGACACCTGGAAGTTCTGATCATACTCCTCTCTCGCTGTACAGCTGAATTAGTTGGGGTTGCTTTTCCACTCAGTTATGTCAATCTTAAACCAGCACAGTGCAGTGGAGAATCAAGGCCTTTGAAGGATAGTCCATCAGTTTGCAAGTAACTCATGTACTAATGGAAAAATGGGGCCTCAATACATCTGATTATTTTGCTAATATGATCAGAGGATTTGCTAGAGTAGTCCATCAAGTGATACCCCATCATGGACTCTTAAAATAGCGGCATTCAACTATTAATAGTAAACAGTAGCTTCTAAAAACTAAATACACTTTTTTTCCTCAATGAATCAATGCTTGAGAGATGCCAGAGGCACAGTAAAATTATAATCTGGTATGTAAAAAAATACAGCTTTCCTGGTTAAATATTTTAAGTAGTCTAATTATCTCAAATTTAGGTTTGAATTCTAATATCCTATTTTCTACTCATCTAGCTGCCTTTCTCAAATGTTTCCTATTAACATTCATTTATGTTCTTACTGACTTTTGTAGGTGGCCAAGTAAAATAATAGCAGCTTGTTATTTTGATAACCCTGATATTTTCAAGCAATTACAAATATAAAACAGGAAAATGTAAAGAAGAGAAAGGGACAACCTGTATAGTAGAAACATACGGGGTTTGCAATTACTGACACAAAATATAGGCTTCCCAGCTACTACTAAACACTTATACATTCTCTGTATGAGAAAATGTGACGTTACATGGTGTTCAAAATAGGACCTTTCCTGTATTAACATACAAAAATATACTTTTTTAAAAGTTAACAAAAATAACTTAAATTTTTGAGAAGCAAGACAAGTCCTTGTTGGGACGGAAACCGCATTTGCTTATGTTTTGCATAAAGTAAGTCTACCAGCCTGAAGTGGTGGCTTTCCAACCTCTTTGCTTGGATGTCCATACAACACACATAAGGTCACTGAAAAGAGGGTTCCTTTCTTAATTACCTTTTGTCCGTGAATCCCTGAAACAGTGGTTGAAAATTACTAGTTTAAAATCTATCCTCAGAGATTGGTGAATTTTTTAAGAGATGGGGTTACAACGGCATCTAAAGGCAAATAACAAAGATGAGAGTTTCTGAACGTTCCTGCTGCATTGTGACTTCAAGTCATACTCTTAGTTAATTTTAACATTTTGGTTTTATTCTTTATATTCCTCTTAAAAAATGAAATGAGGCACTGATACGTTATGGCTTGTTTGTGTCAAAGTACCCTGTGCTTTGGTTTTCAGGGGCTTGACATAATGAGCCAAGGGAAAGAATTATTTCCTTGACAACGAAACGGTTTATCCTCTGCGTTTAAGGACAAACTAATATATAAAGGATAAGATGACTGATTCAGTGGAATAACTTAATTTCAGCAAAGTTGAACGTTGATGATATAAATGTTCTACTACGCATTTACTATGCAATTTACAACAACCACTTAACATTTATAACTTTAGCTGCACTGAGCTCCACGCCTGTGGTCTTGAATTGGAAAGAACTATCACTTAAATCAATGGGAGTTGTATCTGAATGCAGATTTTGATCTTAAAAACATTCTAAAGATTTATTTTAAACCTGAAATAATAAAAAAAAATAAATCTTCAAACAAAGAGAAGCTTAAGTGGTTCTCTTGAGATTTTCATGAAGATGTAGTCTTTGGATAAAAACCCAATATACCAAATTCAAACCTAAAACACTTCCCCTGCTCCCCTTTCTATAGACTCCTGAAAGAATGATTTTTGTAACAGTATGTTTTAATGACCAACTACTATTTTGAATGCAATATTAAAATAAATAAGATAGCATAGTACAGAGAAACATGCCTCCAAGTCATATACCCATTGTGCAACGAAACCATTCCTGTGAAGGTGAAGCAAGATCATTAGAAGTACGAAGTTATTTTACAGACAATTTAGGCTTGGATGCTTTTCCAAGAGTTCCTTTACTAGTTTCTCTAAGGAGAAGAGATGCTCATCTACATCTTCTGGTACGAGACTTCTGATAGAATTAGCAAGTTCAAACAGGTATTCTGTGTTTCTTCCACTAGGACCAACTGCATTAAAAATCTGTTCAGCAATTTCTTCTAGAGGTGCTGGGCCAAGGTAGTTAGGGTTGTCACAAGTCCCAATGTATAACAATACATCAAACGGTTTTACTGACAAGTCTTTTGGGTAGAAAATGACAGTTGTAGTCCTGTAGCCTCCTTTCTCTCTGAAGTCCAGGTATGCCTTTACTTCACATTCTTGTCCAGGTGGCAATCTGTAAGCAACACCCCATACACACCCCTGTTGAAGGACATAAGAAAAGAAAATCCAAGCAGTGTTCATAAAGATACTCACGAATTAATGTATTTCTATTGTATTTAGGCAAAACTCTCTTTAAAAAAATTCCTTCAATTTTCAGTCTTTTTATAGCTATTTCTCGCACTGTTTGTAGAAGGAGCCCCACATTAAAAGGGTTTTGTTTTCTTTAGGAAATCTTCAGTCAAAATGGTAACTATGCGGATTGATCATCCCCTTTCTGGCTAATGCTGAGGCCTTTCTTACAAAACAATTTCTCACTGCAATTAAGTTTGCAGTAGTAAATAGCCTTGGCGTGGGCTACTAAGGAGCTGGCAAAAAGGATACGAAGTATCTTCCTGACCTCACAAAACTTGTATTTGAAAGTTAAACTTTCGAATAGTGCCAAATGAAAATTAATTTTGATCAGGTCCTTTCTCTGTTTAGTTGCAGTTTCGTTTCTAGGGACCTGGGTGTCACATCTGTTACGCGTACTTGGAGGGATGAGTGTGGTAATGTTACTGCACTGAAACTGAATCAGAGAAGAAAAAGCTGAGATGAACCTTCATTTTGCACGAATAAACGTGGTGTATCCAGCACCTCAGCAAACACTGTTAGGATAAATTTCATTACCGTCTTTGAGAACCTGACTATTTCTTCATCCTCTTCACAGAGAGCATCTCTGAAAAAGTATTTAACTGTGGTGTGAATTAGTTATGCTCCCTTACCAAGTTTTATATAAACAAATCAGTGAGATCTGTGTAGGGATTGATTTGCATGGGGTTTTGTTTTGAAATAGCATAGAAAAATGGTGATGGTCTGTTATCCACTAAGGGCTACATATTGTTTCTTACGTGCGCTGTTTTAAAATAAACGGTAGTCTGTTTTGTCTGCTGGCAACATCAAATGTCGATTCTTCCTGCAGCTAAGTAGGTATAGGTATCGGTGCTACAGTAATGATGACAAAGCAATTAAGGTTTTGTTTTTTTCCCCCTAAAACTGGATCTTAGTATTTAGTCATGATATCAGACGATGCTGGGGTGGTGGTGTTAATTCACGAGCTTTGAAGTTTGCAGTCAGACTATATACTGGTCAAAGGCATTTTATTAAAAAAATCATGAGTCATTTTCTATTGCATCCTTTGTAGATGGTTACAGCATTTGATGTGCTGTGGCCAGGAACAGCACTAATGAGTACAAAAATGGGTTCCTTGCTTTCCCTCAGCCATCTGGGATGCGGGGTTACTCCAGCTGGCTGTAGGAAATGTGTTAGTTTTAAAAACAGCCTCTTCTGCGCATGCTACTCTCTTGAGTTAAATCTGCCATTCAGACCTACTTTGGTGTTGACAGGAAAATATATACGGGTGTGGTGGAGATAAGGATTTAAAGCAGACACTTTACGTGCCACTGCTAGTTAATTCATTTAGCTTTCCGTATAGAGGATTCCTACTTCAGATGATGGAGAACTATAATCCAGAAATCTGACAAGGGGTACGATGTTCTTTTTCAGTGTGGTTTCCTCTTAACTGGCAAAGAAATTCAGATGGAGCAAGTTAAAATAACTCTCTAAACTAGATGTTTCCAAGCTGCACTATGTGTATCACGAGTGAAAAAGGACACACAGGCTAGCACAGAGCTGAGAGCTGGCATTGCCAGTAAAAGTACCACTGCTGTTGTCACCACAGCATTTGGTGTCTGCGTGCAGGGGAATAATTGCTGTAGTCTGCTAAGGTATCTTCAAAATAAGGTTACCTTTTTAAGCTGCAGAATGAGTAACTGAAATTAAAGCAAATGGCTTGTCATATCATTTGATGTTTATGTGTAAAGTGTGATTATCTGGCCCCACCAGATTCTGGAGAAAAGGGAAAAAAACCCAACCAAACAAAACTGGTTTGCTAAGGGGAAAAAAGTTTCTATGGTAACGAATAAGTTTGCTTAACAATACAAACTGAGTGACAACAAACATAAGCATTCTTTGTCTATATAGGTGTCTGTGTAACATAATGGTACCCAGCAGTACAGTAATGTGAAAAAAACCCTTACTAGAAAGGCACAGAAAATCACAATGAGAGACAGTGCATTGCATTTTGCTGGTTTTGCTAACTGCAAAAAACAGTTGAAGTTTTCGATTACTGCTAAACTTACCTCTCTTTGTGGCTGCTATTTCAGGGAAATAGATCGGTAAGCCAGCAATATCATAATTGTATAGATAAGCAACTGTAAATAAAAACTAACTACTACCAAAATAGCCATCCTCCGGGTCTTACGGCCTTGTGTCGTGTGCCCTTGCTCTCCCTCTGCTTCCATGCCATCCTTTCTTCCCTCCCACCCCTCTGGAGGCACTAGTACCTGCAGGGGTTCGCTCTCCTGGAGCGGTGTGAAGCTGGATGGACACGACCATCGCAGCCGTCCCCAGGAAGGCGCCAGAATAGAGCGCGCTGCTGGATGTGGGGGGCCCGCAGGATCAGCAGGGAGTGGGAAAGCAATCGCATCCAAGGTGTGTCCTGCAATAGCCTCCCCTGGGCTTCCCCAGCCTAGCTCAATGCTTTTGTCCTAGCTGGTGAGCAGTCCAACCGAGAGCTCTCTAGTGGGTAAGATCCCTAAAAAAAAAATGCGGGTAGTTGTGAGATAGCTTCTTCACTATCAAACAGAATTAGAAATGGGTGAAATGTAAGTCTACTTTTACAAGCAGAAGAATCTTGATTTTCCTACAGCTTATGTGACGGTAAGCCTAGGCCTTGTTTCACCTCCCCTCCCTCCCCAGCCCGCGCACTCCCCTTGCAAACACTTCCATTGCACCGTCTAAGTGAGACTTAGGGAAAAAGTGGAAAGATAAGCAAGAATGGTAGACTCGGGCCAATGACCGTTTTCTCTAAACAGGAGCGAATTTCACAATATTACATCGAAACCAAAAGCACAGTTGTGGCATTTAATTCCTTAAGCATTTTATCTGTGTAGCAAAAAATAAAGCAAGGGTATCTCCTTTTTTATCACTGCAATGTAATCCTGATTTGTTTCAGTTTTTATTTCGGGAGGGCAAGATTACAGTTCTGACACGACATCTGGGGTCTACTACTGGCGTATTGTCAGCACTATACATACACTGAAAGTAAAATTCTGCACCTTATCACTGGATAGCTGAAGTGACTATTCCGGAAAATACTTTAAAATACACCTTTGGTAATAACAGACCCAAACTACTTCCAGTTTCTTAGTTTAGATCGATTGATTTATTTGAAACAATCAAGAGTCATTGGTGTAACTCCAAGAAATTTTGAGAGAACTTTTCATTGCACTAAAGATAACTCCATTATTTGCTTGTAGAGAAGCAAAAATTAATAGAGACTTACTACACAGGCTGGGAATGCAACAGGACATTCTGTACACTACAGAGACAGAACAGGAGTACTATACCTCAGGATCTTCAACCAGAGTCACAACTCTTCCAGGCTAAAATTAAAAAAGAAAAAAAAAAAAAAATCATAGTTCAGTTAGGCTTTTACCCTAAATCATGAGCAAAACCAAAACAAAACAAGAAAAAAACAACGGAAAAGTAATGAAAGGGTCAGAGAACTAATCCAGGACAATCTCAGTAAGGTCTATTTCTTTGAGATCCAATATAAATATTTTCTGAGAATAGCTTTTCATCTGTATTGGATAAACTGTGATAAACAAAATGTTAAATTCTGAGTGGAAAGTGTCTGCAACATAGAAGTAAAATTAAGGGCAGTCATAAACGGGGAGGTTTTGAATGTCCTTGCTTTGTACGTGCTGTCCAGACTCAATTCTATTCCTGTTTAAAATGGTGACAGTAATTCATTAATGTAAAACTATCCTCGAGGAGTGCACCTTCCTCAGTCATGTTGCTTCTCCACAGTACTATGTGATTTTTTTTTAATCTCTGGAGTGACAGTGCGGTGAACCTTCTCACCTGTATGCAAAAAGTTTATATGCAGGCACGGAAAAGAACGTAACATAGAAATCTAGCTTGCGTAGAACTAAGCAAGATATTACCACTTCTGGCTTGGTTTGCACTAACTGGATTGTAGAAAATGTTAATTACACGTTATGACACATGGCAACGCCTAGGTTTAAAAGCTCCTAGCTAATTAGATGTTTTTGAAAACATATAGCAAAGAAATCTGCTAGTAATTTTTAGTAAGCACCATGTTAGCATCATGTTATTCAAAGCTGAAAAAAGTAGTTTATTGTGCAAAAGACTATTTTCCCCTTCTTTTCCCCCTCCCAGCTCATTCTCCCTTACTGGGCAGAGGGAGGGTACCTTGGTAATGGCTTATTTTTCCAATGAGTTACTTCTTGCAGGAAGAGTGAGAAGCCAGTTTGTAAATACTGAAAAGAAAATTGTTGAAATATGTTGTATAACCTGGAGAATAAAATTTTAAACCCTACGGAGAACTACATCTGTAGTTTAAAACTGCTAACTTTGGCATCACCTTAGCGTACAAGTGTCTTTGATTAGAGGCAAGGGACAGCAGAGGTACTAGCATTCATTCAGTTTTAGCGTAGGATAGAAATTCATTCTCTTAGGAGTTACGAGGATAAGCTGAACTTGATGTACTTGGATGCATGCCTTTCATTCGGTCGTAGCTAACGTTCAGTCTTGGGCTACTACATTTCAGTCTTTTTATGACTCACCACTAACAGTTTCATCGACATGTCCATGCTTTTCTGTTTGGTAAGTCTGTACTTGTGCTTGTCTCACGCAGAAACAGTGTAGGGTTCTCTCCTACACCGAAGCCACGCGTTCTTTTGGTAACAAGCCAAATATGAAATCTAGTTTTTGCAGAGCACTTTATAGATACCATCAACTGTAGATATTATTTATTCAGTGTCGGATCTTTTATAATCTTAAAAGGCTGTTTGTTTATAAGCTCTGAGGTGCTGCATTCTTTCACTTTTACGCCAGTTCTCTCCCAGCATCCGCCATCTATTCTTGATCTGATTGATTAAAAAAAAGGCAACAAAACTAAATGAATACTAAATGATTACTATTTGAGTACTTAGAGGAAACAGGTCTGTTATCATGATTAATCAAGATAACTTAAGTGTTCCTTTTGGGAAGCTTTTTCCATAGCCATTAATACTTCCCTGACTTGGGTACTCAATACTGGTCACTAAGATTTTGTAAATTATGGATTAGAGAGACATTCTGTGGTGGGAAAAAAAAAAGGAATGCCTGTATCTGTGGCCTAAATATTAAATGGAAGTGAAGTACTGAAGAGTACTTAATCTTCCGATGGGTTGCGTGATGAAAGAACGATGTGTTTGCCAGGGTAAATCAGGGAATCGCGGACGTGGGAAGGCACCTCTGGAGACCCTCTAGTCCAACCTCCTTTTTTCTCCATTTCACCTTTAACAAACTAAAAGCCCTTCATTATCTTAAAATGGTTTAACCTTAAGCTGACCCAGTAATACTATACAGGCAGAAACTCAGTTTTCTGTTTGGACACTGTTTTGGACAGTGGCAGCAGACAGCTGGAGCTAGATGAATCATGTCATCAAGTTTCCCTGGTTTTTTTTCTAAGCACATCGGAAGGCTAGGAACAAAAACAGTCTCTGGCAGAGCCAGACTTGAGATTCCCCAAATGTCAGGCCGGTGGGTGTGCCGTGCAGTCAAGTGAGTACCAGCGCCAGATCAAGGGGAACGGCTAAAGCAAGTGGTCTGAAGCTGGGAGGGAGGAGGACTGTAAGGAGAGGAAGCCAAACTTCACCGTTTTGGCAGCAGCGAGCTATTAGTTTGGTTCAAACCATATTGTGAGAATAATGGCTTCAACCCTTGAATGCGTGTACACCTCTGTGCTGTTCCGTGCAAAACCAAACGCCCAGACTTTAATGTTTGAGAAGGTTTATGAGAATCGTGCAGGTTTGCATTTCTGATGGCATTTTTTCTGAAGCTTGCACTAAGAAATTTGAATTCGCCATTTATGAAAACATTTTTGTTACTTATTCAGGTCTTTCTAAGCCAGTAGCACTATTTTCAGGGAACAGTGTTATTGCCTGGTAAAATTCAAGCTGCTTTAATGTACTATTCAGATTAATCCTCTGAAAATCTTATTTTTAAATACAGCTAATGTATAAGTTGTATAAGAAATGGTTATTCCTTTTTTTTGCATTCTTAATCTGTTCCAACAAAACTTTTTCCAATTTAACATCCTGTAAACTCTAAAATATGGCCCCGTGATTAAACATCACTTTATAACTAGTTAACCGTCTTATTACAGTACGAGTTGAGCAGTTCAAAGTACGATTACAAGGTCAACCGAGTTTTGTACTAAAAGCTTGCAGCCATTGTACGTAAAAGTGCTCTGTATGTTTTTGTTGGGCTGACCGTGGAATGTTGGAGCAACGAGTGTTTTCAGGAGAGGTTTTTTTTAACTTGTCGGCTAGTATTTTATTGCTGTTCTTTAAAATGTGTCAGTACTGAAGGACCAGTTTCACTCGTAGCTCACCCACAAGAGATGTAATTCACCTCTGGTGTCAAGGACTGCAAAGATCTTACAGCAGCGAGCGTTTGGCCTGGTGAAATGGGAGGTCCCAGCTGTGTGTTTTCTCAGTGTACGCTGAGGGAGCCTTTTTGCCTTGCAAGTAGGAGTAACAACTTGTGGACTGCAGGAATACAAAAAGGCATCAACTTGCTGATGCTGAGAAACAGTCTATTTTGTTAATGCTAAGTGTTTTATATGAAACATAAAATGAAATGCATTGACCAGTTTACATAAATAATGACCTGTGCCCTTAGCCTGTCCAAACAAGCATCTACATAGAAATAGAACAAAGCATGGGTTTGGGGGGGGGTTGTTGTTTTAAGGCTCCGTATGCCTGCAGATGACGGTTCTGGGTATGATCTTGGCTGGGGCAGAAATACAAACACCTAAGCTTCTTGGAACCAAGTATGTGCTAGTGGGTAGTAACCTGGCGTGGCCGTTTTGCAGGATTTCCAGTGTCTGCACAAAGACAGTCATTCTGAGTATTCCCCTGAATGTCAGCTAGCCCAGCAGAAGATAATGCAATGAGGTCACCAAGGATACTTGCAAAAAGGAGGAAAAACTGGCTGGTGCAGGGTTTATTCCTTTCTGAAGCCTCAAGAGTAAGACTTTCTCTGTTGGCTGATTAGGGTTTTTAAAAAAAAAAATTTTTTTTTTTTTTTTTGTTAAAGCCTGGTTTCCCAAGTAGGGGAGGCTGACGGGATCACGCTCTCTTATGCCCCACCCTAACAACTTTTGTACATGCTTTTCAATCTATCCAAATTCAAGAGAAGAACAGAAATTTCTCAATGCTCATACCAACATAATCTTTGAAAAGGGATGACTGGTAGATGAGAAATTAGTGTTCCCACTGAGAAAGCAAACGATAGCTGTCCAGTCAGCAGACCTAACTGAGCCAGCCGCAGGGCATGCTGCGTCTCTCGAGCCAGGTGAGGCGGCGGCTGAGAGCGGGGCAGGCTTGGAGACAGGAATTGTGTGTATGACAGCATGTAAGCCGGGTGACAAAGCGAGGCTTTCGACTCGATCTTAAAAGCAACGTGGCAAAGCGTTTTGGGGCTCGAGTTCAGAACCGGGACAGCTGCATTTGCACAGCACTGCTCCAACCTGAAAAACATGCCTGCCGAGCCCCAGTCCGCTTGCACATGATTTGTTTCTTCGAGGTAAACTTTTTTTTTTTAACTAGCAGATGCCCAACTCGTGCTAGTACCTGAAGCACGGCCATTTGCCTTGCAGAAAAGTAAATGCAAGGGGGGGGGGGGGAATAACCTTAAAGTACTGTGCAAGTTATTTTATGGTGTTTGAGGTTCTAACCAGGGCTATTTAGAACTAGATGAAAACTTCTTCCATGCTACAAGTTTCATGCTATGCTTTATTTTTAAAAAGAATCCTTATGCCTTTTCTGGAGGAGCGCTTTTAAAGCCGCATTCCAGTTTTAGAGTGGAGTTACCAGGGTGCAGGTTAGACAAGGGCTGTAGGGAGCATCAGGAAAACATACTTTCATGATACAAAACCAGCCCCCCCTTTTCCAAAGCTGTTAGAGAGCTGTATGCAAGTGTCAGTTTCTATACGTTTATGATCAGTTTGCATTTCTGATGACTAAATCGTGAGCAGCGTCTGCAGCCGTAAATAACAGTCCTGCCACATCAAAGTCATTCATCTAACTTGCTGGGTGCTTCTGTCACCTATTGTTTCTTTAACATTTGTTGAGCTATTTAGAGTTATATAAGGGTGATAGCCCTTCTATGGGGAGGGTGGTGCAGGCTTTCAAAGCAGAGTAAGACACTGTTATTCTCACTCCTGTAGCTTAAAAATACATATGTTGGCATGAAACCGGGAATGCTCACTTCCGGGCTTTTAGTTTCTTTTTCTTGGTGGCTTTTTTTTTTTCCCCCCTTTTCCAAACAGTAAATATTTCCTCCTCCATGACTTTTAATTTGAAAGTAAAAAAGGTGAAAACCAGTGAGGTACCTACTCAGATCAACGCTTCTGGCCTTTACTTATTAACCAGCCTTTCTCTTCAAAGCCTGACACCCACACTGAGGTGCTTTCCCTTAGTTATTTAGATTAATGTCTGTAATAACTAACTCAGTTATTTTTGAGCTATTGAAACGGACTGACGGTTATTTTTGTTACCATTCTTCTCCTCTTCGAAGTTCGTTATGTTGTTTGTTTGCAGGGTTTTTGGTTTGGTTTTTTTTTGATATCACAGAGGAAAACGAATTATTGAACTTTAGGAAACACTTCTTGCCACAGTGAAATAAATGAGAAGTCAAAGTGGAAATACCTGACCTCGGTACTCCGCAAAAGAGGGCTGGAACAACTGGCGCCAGCAAGCACCAGTTGCTGTTAAGGTGTGCTTCTAAGCCTGAGAAAGAGACAGCCGTCGCAAGGACCGCGGGAGCGCCGTCGGGGGGTCCCCAGCGGTCAGGTCAGGGTGACGCCGGGCGCCGCCGGTGC